CGGGTCCCGCTGTGTGGGGAAGAGGGGCCTGTTCCCTCCTCCGCCGCCCTGGCCTTCCCTGGCGGGATCCCCATGACACCCCTCAAGGTCACCCAGGCCTTTGAGGCCGGGTGGCCACGCGGTGACACCTCCCCCCCAGGGGGGACAAGGGGCTCCCGCCCGGGCTCGCTGCGCCCTCGGGGTGCGGAGGTGACGGTCCCGGGCTGGGGCCTCCCCTGTCCTCACTAGCGGGGTCTTCACCTGCAGCAGAGCCCGGCCCTGGGCATGTCAATGAGTTGTTTGTGCTGTTGAGGTTGCTTTTAAGCCTGCTTTTTATTGTTGTTTTTGGGTTTTTTTTGGATTTTTAGGGGTTTTTTTTTTGGTGAGGGGACCCCCCAGGTATGCTGCCATCCTGCTCTGGGCAGTGTGTGCCTGTTGCAGGTGTCCCTGGAAGTGCAGGCGTGAGGACAGTAAAATTAGTTGTGTTTAATTGCTTTCCTCATGAAAGGAGGCTGCAGGTCTTCAGGACACGAGGGCTCCCTCCATTCTGATCTGTAGTGGGAATTGGGGAGGGGACAGCCTTGCTCTGACCACCCTCTGAAGGGCTCTTGTTTCTTCCCCCAGAAAGGAAGCGGTTTTACCAGAACGTTAGCATCTCTCAAGGAGAAGGTGAGTGTGGCCACCGGGGGAGGAGGTCCTGGGGGTTTGTCCCTGCAAGCTGCTTTGGTGACACAGCGACACACTCATGTCATACAAACAGGGTATTTGTGCTCAGCGTGCAGCTTTGCCCTTTCCTTGTTTATAGCTGAACTGCGTGGCTGGATTCCAGCTCTGGCTCTGCTCCCTCCGTGGGGTTGTCTGTTGTTCCTTAGTGCGTGCTCCTCTTTAATTCCCCAGGATTTCTACTCTGATTCTCCAGGAGGTTTTGAAATAAACCTGGACCACCGGAAGCTGAAAACGCCCCAGGCCAAGCTCTTCACTGTCCCCAGCGAGGCCTTGGCCATTGCAGTGGCGACAGAGTGGGACTCCCAGAAAGACACTATCAAGTTCTACACCATGCACCTGGTGAGCAGGGATGGGCAGGACGGCCGCGGCACCGCGGAGGAGCAGAGCGGGTCGTGCTTGGAGCAGGCAGATCAAGGAAGCTGGGGTTAAAGGGAGGGACTGCAAATGCTAGGGGCTGAAAAGGGTTTGCCAGGCTCCCTGTGACCTGGTGAGGGTTTCACCAGCTGGCAGAGTGGATTCCTGGGCAAGGTTTAGGAACCACAGCATTCTCTGCTGTGAATAAAATGAAGACATCCATGCTGGAGAGGCCCTTGAGCCCTCTGCGCTTGGTTTGGTGGGTCCACTCCAGCAGTGTGTCCAAGGCTGGTGAGGAGATTCCTGTTGCACGAGCCAAGCTCTGGATCCGTGTTTCCTTCTAGCTCAGCTCAGTTCCCTCAGCTTGTCCCACATTCCTCAGCTTGTAGTGTGGAAGCTGCTACTTCCCCAGGCCTTGAATCACAGTGTCTTGTATTGCTTTATCCCTTAGACCACGTTGTGCAACACAGCTTTGGACAACCCCACTCAGCGAAACAAAGTCCAGCTGATCTGTGCGGCTGTGAAGTTCCTGGAGACTGACACTATCTGGTAAGAGACCATCAGGGACCCTCAAGTCCAGAGGCTGGGCTTTCTTTTTGCATGTTTTGCCAAGTTCCAGTGTGGTTTTATTCTGCAATGTCCCAGCTATCGCGTGGAGGAGCCAGCTGCCTTGGCGGAGCTGCAGAAGAATGAATGGGATCCCATCATTGCCTGGGCTGAGGACAGGTAGGAGGTCAAAGATACTTCTGTCCCTTATGCCCTGCCCTCTTGTGCCTCTAAGCCACCGTGATAACTGGGACTGGTCGTGGCTCCACCGCTTGTGGCCAGAGCCACCCTGCTCACAAGCCCTGTGCTTGTCTGAGGCACCGTGTGCTCGTTGCAGGTACAACGTGGCAATTGGCTCCTCTACCAGCATCACGGGGCCGAACATCCCCACCAGCACCAAGGACACCTTCATCAGCCACCTGGCCTCTTACAACATGTGGGCCCTGCAAGGTGAGAGCGCCTGGGCCCTGCGGAGCCCCAGCTCGGCTGTGTGAGACAAGGGGGCAGTTTCCCTCACGGTGAGAGAGGACACTGCAGGGTGTCTGCTTGCCTGCTGATGTGCTCAGTGTCCTCAGCTTCTGCTGCTGCATGACACCTAAAGGTGAAGAGATGGAGTAATCCATTTGCTTTGCTCTAGGCTTCAAATGCAAGACCTGCATGAGCAGCAGACAGAAGACCCAGAGAAGATACTAGTTTAGCAGCTAAGGAAAGTTAACAGTGTTGATTTCCAGTGCAGGATTTAGGAGGTCTTTCCTTTTCACTATAAGATTTTTTTTTTTTAATGAATCATTTTCTTTGCTCACAGCTTGCAACACGGCAAAGCATGGTGGGAGAGAATGGGATGTGTGTCCCTGGGGGAAGCTCGAGGTGTTGGTCAACCTAAGACCTGAAATCCAGCTCTGGCCTGGCCTGCTAGTGCAGGATGAACCTCTGTCACCTCCCTGCTCAGTGTGTGCACGTATCAACACTCCCCTTTGCCACCACCGTGAGCTGAGGCCCCGAGCAGCTCAGAGGTTTGGGTACCTCCTTCCCTCTCCTCCTGCCTGTGTGTGCTCACAGGCTTCGCTCCCAGCCCTCGGCTGCCAGGCAGTAGCTACTGCACCCTGGAGAGGGGTGTCTTGCCAAGCTAACGCGTGACGGCAGGGAAGGGCTCCGCGGTGTCCCGGGATGGCACCGTTCCCGCAGGGCACGGCACACTGCACGCACGTTCACACAGGCCTCTCGCCACGAGTGATTATAGATGTGCTTTGTCACCAAACTGTGCTTGTCCCTCTCATCCCGCGGGCTTTCCGTTGAGCTCCTTTGCAGTGGGCTGAGTACTGGGCCTTGGGTGGGTGTCTTCTGCCTCCATATGGGAAAGGTTTGTGGTGGAACAAAAGGCAGGGCCTTTGCTGCGCTGACAATGTCCAGAACAGCGTTTTGTGTTTGCAGTTAACTGCAGATCTGACTCCAAAGTACCTAAATGCAAGTGGGGGGTATCACTGGCCCTGCCAGTCTCTCTGAGGATGCTCTGTACCCTGCTGTCCCTTTAGAGTATGTGAGATGTTGCTATGATGCTGCAGAAAACAACCATGAATGTTGTTTGTTTTGGGTTTTTCCCCTCCAGGTATAGAATATATAATCACCCAGCTGAAATCTCTGATTCTGTCCATGGGCCTGATTGACAGGCACATTACAGTAGAAAAAGCTGTACTTCTATCTCGCCTGGAGGAAGAATACCAGGTAAATTATGTTACGGAACAACCCTATAATTCAAATAGCAATAATCTCAGCATGACAAATGCTTCTCCCACCACAAATAACTGGCAGTGGAAGTGCCTGCTATTACAGGAGAGGTTCCACTCCGCCAGTCTCCCTGTTGGAGAGGGTTTGGAGTGTGCAACATGATGGGTGCAACAGCCCGCAGTGCTCTTGGGGCTGCCAGTTTCTTTCTGCAAAGCCCAGGCTGCTGCTTTCCCCGCTCTAATCGGATCTGCAAAGCCATGGATGGCTTCTCTTGCTGTGGGTTATGCAGCCCAGAGGCCTTGCTAGGCACTGAACTAATAAGCTCCTTGCTGTGAGAACACAGGCTGGAAACTGTCCTGGCATGAAGCTCTCCCTGACCAAAGGCAGCTGAAGATGATGGGAAGCTCTTCACCCTTCCTTTAAGGGGCTTTGCCTTAGAGCCCGGCACAGATGAACGATGCGTCTCCATCTGGAGATGTCCCTACGTGGTGTTCAGCAGAGCTGCCCAGCTCCTGGGGGTTATCCACGTTCCACAGTCATGAAAAGGGAGGCTGGGGGTGGCTGAGCTGCCATGTAATCCGGTTCTGAACTGAGCTGTGTTCTTCCTCCCCCAGATCCAGCGGTGGGGCAGTGTGGAGTGGGCGCACAACTACGACCTGTGCGAGCTGCGTGCTCGTGCAGCCGCTGGGACTCTCTTTGTTCACCTCTGCTCGGAGAGCTCAACTGTAAAACACAAGCTGTTGCAGGATTGAGCCTGTCAGGCTGCTAAACTGGGCACAGGAGCTAAAATGCCCAGCTGTGATGGGCTGGCACACCCCAGAGGATGGTAGCCACCGTCCTGCCACCACAAATTCCCTGGGACCAGTCACGAGAGGCTGAGACTTTGTGGCGATTCCTCATTTGGACTGGCTCCTGCAGTGCGACACCAGCAGTTTGGAGCCCCACGAGGAGGAAGGAAAGGTCAGGGTGAAACCCTTCTGCACATGCAAGACAAGGGCCCTGCGTGTTACTAGAGCCTGTAACTCGTTAGAGGAGCACCCACCAAAGAAACAGCTTCCTGGACAAGGCAGGGCACGGCACAGACATACCCAGCATATGCCACGTGTCTTCATAGCTGCCAGCTCCTGACACACACTTGTTATGGAAATCTGAAAACAGACTCCACTGCATCTGTTCTCCATCCCTCCGTGTGCCTGTATGTAACACGAGGGTCTCTGTGTTGATTAAAGGAACATCCCTGCTCAATAACGGAAAGCGAATGCATCGGAGTGTCTCTTTGTTTGAATAACCACGCCAGGGTGTAGGTCCCTCTTTGCCAGGCTCCAGGCAGATGCTGGGATGGCTGCATGAGAGAAGGATGCAGAGCAGGGCAGGCACTATCTAGCAAACAGATTTGCTCTCTCTGTGTTTCTGTTGGGGTTCCCCCCCATGCTATGTTCCCTGTCCTTGCAGCCAAGGAGTGGCAGGGAGCTGACTGCAGCACGAGAGAGGAGGAACGTAGGCTCTAGCAATCCTCAAAAACCTAAATTTGTGTAGAGCCAGGCAGCTGCATCCAGAGCTTTCCTGCAGCCCTGCCTCTTGGCAGCATGCATGCACAGCCTTGCTTTATTGCTCCTTCCCCCTTGCTGGGTGCTGCTGCCTCGAGCAGCACCGCTCTGACCAGCGTCGCCGCTCACAAGCGAGCGCAGCAGCTGCTGTCACCGAGCAAGGAGGGGAATTAATGATTCCTCGCTTGGCTGCCGCGAGCAGCAGCGTGTGAGCTCCTGTGGAACCGCTGATTTCCTTTCCTGCTAGCTGGGGGCCGCTCTGTTCATGCTGCAGAGAGCTGCCTTTGCAAGAGGCGCTGAGACGAAGCTCCCAGGTGCACGGGGCCCCAGCCAGCGCTTGCTCGCTGAGCCGGAGCGCGGCCGCCGCTCCGGGGGCGGATTGATGGATTCTGGGGGTGGATTGATGCAGAGCCCTCTTCTCCCAGGCTGCTGCTGCCTGCCTGCGGCTCCCGGGTTCCTGCTGCTGGTCTTGCAGGTACTAAACCTTTCAGCGTGATGTGCTGCAATGATTTGGTTCACTCAGCTCACAGCTGATCCGTAACCCCTTGTGACCAGGTCTGAGCCTGTCTGAACGGGCTTGGTGCCAACGTGATGGAAGAGACAAGGTTTCTGATGCTTTTCCACAGTCAATAAGCATCTTTTATTTGCAGTTTCTGGTGGGATGGAGGAGGGAGCGTGCCTTCAGCCTGAAACGTCTCAGTTTAGCTATAGAGGTAACTATGGGAGTCCTGCAGCTGGGGACTGTCCTGTGTGCACCCCAGGAAGGCACCTGCCCAGCCCGTGGCATTACCTACTCGGGTGGCTCCACAGGCTCCATGTTCTCCACTTCCTCCTGGAGATTTTCAATGTACTGAATGATCTCTTTGAAACGGCTGCGGTTTCTGTCAATCTCATCCTGGAGAGCCTGAACAGAGTCAAAGGAAGCCCTGACTCCACAGGCCTCTCAACATCACTGGCTGCAGCGCGCAGAGCCCAGCAAAGAGGAGAGGGTCCTTTCAGAGTGGAGCTGTGTGTGCCCCAGCCCCACGAGAGCAGGAGGGTCCCCTACCTTCTCTGTCACTGCTGCCTGCCAGTGCCGCGCGCTGCGGAGGATGTCACCCTCCCGGCTCGCGATCTTCGCCAGGTGGATGTCGTGGGACGCGGTGACCGCAGCAACAACGGTGGGTTTGTCCACGAGAAACTGGGAGGAAACATGAGCAGGTCAGTGGTGCCGGGGTGCTCCGAATCAGCAGTGCATTAACTGCTCTGCGTGGGGGAAGGAAATGAGACCTCTGGTCATCCTGACAAGGTCCTAGGCATTGGGTTGAGCCCAGTGCTTCATCACTGACAAGTACGTGCTCAGGCCTCGCTACAGCCGCAAGGGAGCATTAGAGCTTGTGCAAGTGGGGAAACTGAGGCACCTTTGCCTTCAGCTGCCTGACAGGCTGGAGCAGGGAGCGGATTCCTGCTCCGAGCGCTCCGCTGCCTCCCAGCTCAGGGCAGGCCCCTGCAGGCAGCTGCTGCTGGAGCCAGGCTGCACACACGCTGCAGCACGCCCAGCCCAGCAGGTGCGGGAAGTGGAAAAATCACACTTGGAAAGGGCCTTTGAACTGGTGGCACTGGCAGTAAATCTTCATTTTGGAGAGCCCCAGCCTCTAATAGAAGCAGCGACTTCCCCTGTGGTTTTAAATAGAGGGTGGCTTCGTTAAACCGTAATGACTCTGCTCCTGCAGCCAAGTGCAGCTGTTGAACAAATGAAGATTGCTTCTCCCTGGAAATGGATGGCGGGGAGGCAAAATGGGTGCGCAGCAGCCGCGCGGAACCGCAGCCATCTGCACAGGCCATAAAGCAGGGAGCTACCCCGGGGGGCTGAGGGGCCTGTTTTGTGTCTGTCAGCTTGTGATTACCCAGGAATGGGGGGGCTGGAATAATCTGGACAGTGCAAAAACACAGCAAATGCAAAATTTAAGTCAATGGGATTGCCGAGGAATGGGGGGGCTGGATTAATCTGGACAGTGCAAAGACACAGCAAATGCAAAACTTAAGTCAATTAGCTACTAAATGAAAGAATAATGGAGGAAAAAAAGGTCAGCAGTGCTGCTGACTGGAGCACTGCAATGATCTTTGTGCTTTCCGGAGAGCTCCTGGGAATCTTTAATATCACAGCAAGAGTGAGGCCTCGATGGAAGGCCCAATTTGAAATGTCATGTCCTGTCGCCAGGACAGCTAATGGGCTGGGAAAGCTCTGGGGAGGGCTCCTGAATTCACCAAGGCGATCAGAGTGCTGGGGCAAGGCGGGCAGAGCAGTGTTTGGATTCCCGTGGGCGGGCAGGGCCTTTCAAAGCCAGCTGTGAGCGCTGCAAAGAAATGCCTGAATGCCTGCTGGGTGGGAGCTGTCTGGAAATGAGCCAGAGAAGGGACCTGTGCTGGAGGCAGGAGAGAGACCGGCTCAGCTCCTCTCCTGGGCTGCTGCCACCAGCTCCTGCAGAGCCCAGGGTAACCTGCAGTGCAGTCATGCGCTGTCCTAGTCAGCAAGGATGCCCAGCAGCGCTGTCGTTCAGCCAGGCAGCTGGGGCCTTCTGGAAGGAGGGTAAATTCTAGCTTAGACATCACTCTAGCTGTCCTAAGCCACCCTGAGACCCTGTCCTTTCTGAGAAGAGGCTGCAGCCTGCTTTTCTTGCTCTTTCTCACAGAACTGCTTGTTTTGGTGCCCTTACCATTCGAACGTCATCTGGCAAATCCTTATCAAGCTCATTCTTGACAGATTTCTCCAGCGTGTTGAGTGAGATCTCTAGCAGCTTTTCATGATGACGGTTTTCCAGGTCTCGGCACTGGGCCATCGTATGGATGATTAAGGAAAAGGTCGACCACATGATTCACTTTGGGACAAAGCTTGACCTCCTGTCATTAAACACTGAGGCTCTGAAAGAGCAAATGTAAGAGAGGACTGCTAATCCTAAGGCAGGTGTGCAGGAAAGCACTCGGTTGCAGAACTGAGAGATGGGTCTGGGTTTGCAATGGAAACTTCTGCGGTAGGTGCTGCGTTCTGATTATGCCAATTACTTGCATGTATATGTATATACATTATTAGATATGTATTATATATGTAAAATAACATTTCCTGTCCCGGAAGCACTTTCTCATTCTCCATCTTACTTTGTTCCTGAAAACATCAGCGACAGAAAATGAAGGCCCCTTAAAGAAACTTCAAGAGGAATTGTAGGTATTTCATGGGCTGCTATGTCAGGAATGCACACAGAAAATAGTCTAACCAGATTTCCAGGTGTTGTTATGCCTGCCTGGAGAACAAATGAAGATTCTCAAAGGGTAAGACATTACCTAAGTGCAACAGACAGTCAGTGAGAGAGAACTCAGAGCTCTTTGTGCCTTTCAGAGTCTCTCCAGAAAGAGGCTGAGCACTTGAAATTTTATCCCCTTGCTACTACCAATCTGGGAAGCACATGGCACTTGCATAGTTTTGTTATGACCTCTGGGGAAAACTCTCGTCTGCTAATTAAAAAAAAAAACAAAAACCAATCCAATTCTGATGGCTCAGCTCTGGATTTAGAAGTACAGCATACATCATACACATCTAGCTCAGACATCTTGTTATGCCTGCCTGGAGAACAAATGAAGATTCTCAAAGGGTAAAACATTACCTAAGTGCAACAGACAGTCAGTGAGAGAGAACTCAGAGCTCTTTGTGCCTTTCAGAGTCTCTCCAGAAAGAGGCTGAGCACTTGAAATTTTATCCCCTTGCTACTACCAATCTGGGAAGCACATGGCACTTGCATAGTTTTGTTATGACCTCTGGGAAAAACCCTCGTCTGTTAATTAAAAAAAAAAAAACAAAAATCAATCCAATTCTGATGGCTGAGCTCTGGATTTAGAAGCGCAGTGTACATCATACACACCTCGCTCAGACATTCAGGCCAAAGTACTTCCAAAAGGATATATCCTTTGAACGTTTTCAATAAATGTTGATACCAGGTCAGCAACGTTTCTTTCAAAATCCTTTATCAGTTCCTTAACAGAAGGAAAAAGAGGAAATGTTATAATGAACACTTGCATAAACATGGCAGGGAGTCTTAGAAAATCTGAAATCCGTTAAAACTTGGATTCACTGTTACTAGCGCAGAGCGTGAAGTACCTCAAGCATATAAGCTGGTTTGAAAGTGCTCCAAGAGTTTTGTTTCTGTGTGAAGGACAGAAAAATCAGAATTGATTTACTGGAAGGAAGCTGATGGAATGATACTTTCACCTGGCCTCTGGAGGAAGCCAGCTGATCGCTTTTTACCTTCCCATATAAAATGCACAGAGAAAGCAGGTGTATTTCTGCAAACTGCCGTGCTGCAGTCTCCTTGCACACACGATGAGCCTCTTGTCACAAGCATAACAAATGCCCAGGCTCATTGCAGCTTTTGTTTTAGCCCTTGGATACTAAA